CGCTGCTTCTTCTTCTATCTGTTTCACTTCGTCATTTAGGTCTTTTCTTGCACTGCTTAGTGCTACTGCTCGGTTTGTTACACACTTATCAAGCCTGCCTTTACAGACAACAGATGAGATGAATTAAAGTCTAAATATCTATTAGAATGCGTTGGTTTTCTATAAACACTAGTGTGCGGTTTACCTTCTATTTTCATCATGAGCTGACATTAGTTAGAGAACCATTGGGAAACCTGGAAGTACTGGACAGATGTTTCGTCCTAGTTTGGGACTCTTCATCAGTACGCACCCACCGGGATTCGAACCCAAGACCTTCTGGTTACAAGGCGAGATCGTATACCATTAAGCCACTGGAACTCGATCGAATGGCCCATGAATTCTAACTTCTGGTATACGAGCTCGCATTGTAACCAAAAGGTCCTGGGTTCGAATCCCGGTGGGTGCGTACTGCTGAAGAGTCTCAAACTAGGACGACAGAAACAGCTGTCCAGTACTCCCAGGTTTTCCAATGGTTCTGTAATTAATGTCAGCTCATGATGAAATCCTGAATATCATTTAGTTTCTTCTTAATCCCATATAAAACATCCAATAAAACGAGAAACCTCGACGATATACAGTGATCTTGACGAATTTATGTACAGAAATTACTTTAATCTAACTACTATGAGGACTCCTATGAGAAACTAGGATATTTTCTTGGATCATTCACACAAGAACGTTATCCTATGTAACAATTTTTTCTGACGTTCTTTTTTCAGATCACACGCTTATACTTTGCATGCATCTGATTGGTCGATATAGATTTGTCAAGGTCTTTGTTAGATAGTTTCGTTTTGGGCTGCTTTATATATAATTTAGAGTTCAGGTTCAGCGGCCTGCTTAAAACGTAGGCTACCGAAAACCACTGTCAATTTATATTGCATATAATTTCTCATATTGAGTTTTATGAAGACAATTGCAGCGAAGGAAATTTTCTTTTCGACAAAGTCACCATCAACTAGGCTTTACATTCATTCGTGTATTTATATCATCAAATGGATGGGAAAGTTCCAGAATAATTTCCCGTTAAAGGTCAAATTGATGAAAAATTAAAATTAGGAATAAGAATGCCATAATAAACAACGGGGGGATGGATAAAACCCAAACAAAGTAGCGTCATAATAACTAAGAAGTTTGACATAATGCAATTAGGGAATAGAAATGTAGAAATAACAAGAATTTCCCGTCGATTGACTGGGTCACAGTGGTTGGTCTCAAGCTGACATGTGGGGACTGGATTCGAGCCTCGGTGGGAACGTCATCACTCACTGAGAAGTGCAGGTACATCCAGTGGCTGACGAGTTCCGAATAGGACGAAATGCGCATCCTTGATTCCACCATCCACCAATTAAAGCTATGATTATTACTATTATCACGGGTTTGACCACGGATTGATATCATTGAGAGAACCACTGAAAACCAGGGAGTACTGGACAGCTGTTTCATCAGCCTACTTTGGGAATCATCGGTAGTATGCACCCATCACCATTGGGGTTCGAACCCAGGACTTTCCGGTTACAAGGCAACCTGGCTCGTATACCATTCAACCACTGGGACCCGATTAAATGGTCGTGCTAAATTACGAATTGGTAGAAGTTAGAACTCATGCACTGGTTGGCCATTGAATCGGGTCCCAGTGGGTGAATGGTATACGAGCCACTTTGTCTTGTAACCGGCAGGTCCTGGGTTCGAACACTGGTTGTGGGTGCGTACTACGGATGAAACAGCTGTCTGGCAGTACTCCCTGTGGCTGGTTTTCAATGGTTCTCTAATTGATATCAATCCGTGGTCAAACTCATACAAATAAAGACTTATCCTTACAAACCAACTCTTGAATTTTATTATTGTTATTATTTGAATAACCTATTCATGTTACATGCATGTTGGTGTAATAATTAATAATAATAATAATAATAATAATAATAATAAGGAATGGTGAGACCAAACAAAATACGGGTACCGGACAACACAGGCGACAGCAAACGCAACAACTTATAGAAATAAGCTTTCTATATCTTCTCTCTCTCTCTCTGCTATGCTGCAACATCTCTGTTCTTGATTATACAGAAGACTAACCTACAATAATCAATGTCTTAATGATTTATCTATCATGTATATGTATTATGTGACAGTGGTGTAAAGCTTAGTAAAATGATTTATACTCATGTTGACATTTTTTTGTGTATAAACATTTTCTTTTACACTGTGCTTTGCTATAAGGTGCTTACAGTCTGTCAATTATAATTGGATTTTATTTTGGTTCCATGCTTATGTTTGCTTGCAAGTGTGTCTGTCTGTGTGTGTATGTGTGTTGGGGGGGGGGTCGGAGGGTCTAAACCCTAGCCTTATGTGTTGCATACGTCAAAACTCTCATTTGACTACATGAAGTCTGCTCTTTTGTGGTGTGGTGTCGTGTCGTGTCGTGTTTATTGTGTCTTGCAAATGGGGTGTCGTGTTTCATTCTTTAAGTGTGTGTGTGTGTGTGTGTCTGTGTGTGTGTATGTTATCTAAGCATGAAATAAACAGATTGATCAAATAATTTGGTTGATGATGTTGATTAGCACTGGAGTCTCAGATGCGAATTTCGTCCCATTTGTGACTCATCAGCCGGTTGGATATACTTGATCCCAGTCCTCATAGTTTCAAACACCGAACACTTCGATCCAATCATTCAATAGGATAGTCCGAATTGAATTGATTAATAAGGGATATCCATTATACACGTAGTGGCTTTCGTGCCGAAAATTGTTTTAGTGGATAACTGTTTGGTGTTTCAAACTGTAAAAAGTAGCAAAATAGACCTACATCACTCTGAAGTCAGTTTGGAAGTCTTTTGAACTCCAGTCGAGCATAAACAGCACAATTCTGATTTTTTCGTGTTCTATCAGTGCTTCTATAGGACGTTTTCAACCGTCCATTTGCAGATGTTTATCAACACTGCTATCGTTGGCTACATACTGAAGATCAAATAACCAAGTTGGCGAGAAAGAATTACCAGCAAGAAACTCCGGGAACGAACCAATCAAGAACCGAATGGTCAAAAAATATTCAGGAGAAAAGATAGATGGATCGGGCTTATCTTGATGAGGCCATCGACTGGTATCGCGCGCAACACAGGCCATTATACGAGTGGAATCCGAATGCGAATGGAAGTTTCTTGTTGCCAATACTTTCTCGCTGGTCATTTGTTTTTTCAGTGTAGAGTCAGGGGAGAGTTAGTTGCTAATATAAGTATGAAACTTGTTGGAAATTCTTTTTGTGATATGCAGTGCAAATTTCTTACTCATATAGAAGGAAGGACTGACTTACTGACTGAGTGACTTCACATCCGTGCTGAAAATCTTAATCTTGTTCTTTATGCTGTGGAGAGAGGGGTGGGTGCAGAAGATTGCCAAAATGACTTCAGATTGGTGAAGGTAGTACATCTCGCCTTTCCAATTCCGGATGGATTTGACATCTTCATTCGTGCTGCTGCCTTTGGCTGAAAAGAGGTTAGCTGCCTAGATAAGTGAAGGAAGAAAGGAAAGAAGTAACCTCTTTCAAACCTCCCCCGTTTAATGGCTATTGGTGCTGGCTGTTGTTGCTGTTGGTTATAATTATTACTTCTGCCTGTCTTCTCTATGTTCACCTGGAATCCTGTCTCTGCTGCCTGCCAACTTCTTCAGCCAGTTTTTTTCATTTTTGCCTGCCTTCCTGCAAGTCTTCGAGTTTGTGTCACATTTAACATAAAGTCATCCACGCATGAAATCCAAATCTTCTATAGTCTTCTTATCGGTGATCCAACGTGTATACCTGTCTTCTCATTCCCCATAAACAGAGTCTGACGCATAATCCAGTCCACCACTTACCCCTGTATTCACTTTAGACACCTTGCTGAGTCTTCCGTTTTGGCTCACCTGACACATGGCACTGTCATAGAGCCAGCTGTTGTTGAATAAGGTTGAAAAAATAGTTGGGCCACTGCACACACCATAGTGTTGAAACAGTTCCCAAATCACTCCTCGGTCAACACTGTTTGTCAAAGGCCCTTTTCCAAGTCGATGAAGCTGTTGAGGTAGAGACAGGTTTGACTGCCATTTTTTAATGCTTTGTTTCGTGATGATTATGCGTAGACTTATAATTTTTAATCAGTACATGATTTACCTTTCCTGAATCGAGCTTGTTTTGTGGGGCGAAGTTCTGCATACAGTGCTTCTCTGAATTATAATGTTGTCGTAGGAATGGTAACAGTTTTTTATATAACACCATGGAGATTGTGTTTTGGTCAACATTGGGAAATATGTTCACCTCACTAACTTCAAAGCAGAGTGTTGTTGTAACCTCTATGTAGAGTAGGCTAAGATTTTGAGTATATAAGCTTGTGACGAGGTTCACCTTTACATTGCTCAGGGGTGTGTATAGTCAGAGTATATAGTATGGAGGATTTCATCATGAGCTGACATCAGTTAGAGAACCATTGGAAAACCAGCTGGGAGCACTGGAGAGTCGTTTCGTCCTAGTTTGGGACTCTTTAGCAGTACGCACCCGCCATCAGGGTTCGAACCCAGGACCTTCTGGTTACAAGGCTAGCGAGCTCGTGGACCATTAAGCCACTGGGACCTGACTGATCCAATGGCCAGTGCATGAATTCTAACTTCTGCTAATTCACGACATAGCGCGACCATTTCTCAATGTCTTCTTCGATGAGTTACTGCCTCATCTTCAACCTGCTGTACCCCAGTGGGTGTGTACTGATGATGAGTCCCATATTAGGACGAGACAGCTGTCCAGTAATCCCAGGTTTTCCAGTGCTTCTCTAACTGATGTCAGCTCATGATGAAATCGTCCATGCAATCAAACAAATCAAATCCCTACAAATCCAATACTTAAAGAGTATATAGTAATCTAACATTTTAACGTTTTTTGTCGCATAAACCTTTTTAACCTTTTTCTGTTTAACCCTTTCTTATGCATTATTTTAGAATCTGAAATTTTGGCGAAGTCGTTTCTTCATATTACCAATTTATAGTAATGAAACTAGACGGTTAACGGAAGCCATCAGAGAGTAAGTGTTACATTGAGAATAATAATGTTTGTTATTTTAATTTTTCCCAAACTTTTTCTGGAGTTTTCCATGACTTGTGAGGCATCAATAGATGGTCATGACCTATATGCTTACCTGGAGAGCAGTGAGTGAGTGGCACGTGATCAGTAGTCAGAATTTGTGTTTCATTCATACTTGTTTCAAGTTTGACCGCGGATTGATATTGGTTAGAAAAAACATTGAAAACCAGCCACAGAGATTGGTGGGATAGCTGTTTTCGTCCCATTAGATTGGGATTCATTGGACAAGGCAAACTCGTTAACCTATCCAACCGTTGGAACCCGACTCCTCAATGGTCAGCGCATGAATTCGAACTTCCATGAGCTTGTCTTGTAACCCGGAGGTTCTGTGTTCGAACCCCTGTGTTGGGTGTGTACTTCCAATGAGTCCCTAACTAGTGGGACGAAATAGTTGTCCAGTGGCTAGTTTTCAATGGTTATCTAACCGAATATGTCAATCCGTGATCAAAAACCTGCAACCTATCAAATCGCCAGTAGTAGTTTGTTCACTGCCAACCACTCCTCAGATTTTGTCTGTCTGTTTTCGACATAGAACTTTGCACCGATGTGCAGCAGTTCAAGTCGCCACACTCCCTCCTTATAGCAAACAAAGTAAGAGAAGAAAGTAGAAGAAATGCATAATAGAGACAGTAAACAGAGGTATGAGACAAAGGAATAGTAATAACGAAGAACAATATAGTTTCATTGGAAATCATAAGCCACAAGGAGTGGATGCATCTGCGCCAACCAGCCATTGAGATCGATTTTGAGCCAGTCATATCACCAATTGTCTCCAGCCTTCAATGAGTTTTACTATGACGACGACTCCAACCATACAGCAGTCTACACCTTCCTACGTCGGCTTAAACTAACTGTTGTGGTTTTCATTGGCTGATGAAACCATCTTTTCGTTTAACCACCACTGGGTCTTTTCCAACTTGATCCTATGTCAGTCAGCTAACATTGCCCATTGTCGAGGAAGGCGATGGCTAGGCTAGGATGCGTAACATATGTACTAACCACCTGATTGATGAAACTACACAGTCTCGTCGATTGATTTTCCCTTTTTACCTACCACTCGATTAATGCCTAACCTCAATATTGCTCATCCCATTAGACCACCACGTAACACTGAAGACAGAACACAGGCATCTATGATTGAAGACAGCTAGCCATGCTTTCGCATGTCTTCCACTCTCAATGGCCAGGTCTCACTGACAGTCATAAAGGAGGACGGAGTGGACTGCTGAGCAACTCCTCAGATTGTCTGGGTTTGATTCTGAGACACTGATAAACCGGCTTCCTTAGCCGATATTAATCTCCCCACCCCCTCTACCCGTCTGTCGCAGCAGAGAGGGAAGGTTAAGTGTGAGGCCTGGAAGCTTTACCGCATAGAGACGCAATTGTTACTAGAACTTCCCGTGAGCTTAATTTTTTAAGCTGCTAGTATGTTCCACTTGGAACTCTCGAGTTACTCCTGATGACCATATCTGGTTATAACGTAGAATGTATAAAAACACACACACACACATCACAATGAGCGTTATTTTTTGGTTTCTACATCTGAAATGGATAAAAGTTCCTTAAAGCTTAAAAAAATAACGAAAAAAACTCAGTAGGAAATAAATATTTTTTCTCCACATAGACTACCATTTTCAGTTTTCAATCATAATTAGGATACATGTAACGTTAAATGGTATATTTTGTATGATCGCTACATTTCTACTTAAATCGCAATGCCAGTCTGCTGCCCTGTGTGCCTGCTTGCCTTTTTTATTTTTTGTAAGTGACACTTTGACATTTACAGAGAGATTGAGGAAGAGAGAGAGAGAGAGAGTATTGAGATCATTATTCCATGGACATATATACCATACCATCCAAAAAGGTTAGGTTTAGAGATATCTGTCTATTTTGTGGATATTATAAGTGAATAATGTGTAATAGAATGTGTATAGAAAAGAATTTTGTGCTTTCATGTCTTTTCCTGCTTAAATGTTATTATTATTACTATTATTATTGTTATTAGTAATAGTGTTAGTATTCACTGTTATCTTGATGGTCTTTTCCCATTTTACCGAAGGTATTTTTGATAACCCCGTGCCTTTTTGTTAAGAAGACAAAGAAGGACAAGAGAGAGGGTCTACTTTATCTTATCTATTCTACTGCGTGTGTGTGTGTGTGTGTGTGCTATGCGTATGTATTTGTCTGCTTGAAACTTTTGACCTAGGTAATTTATGTTGTATAGATAAAAAAGGGAATTCGGAAATAGGCGTCGGTAGTAGTACACTTTTTGATAGCTAATTATGCGTTGTTATAAACAGAAATGATGAAGCTATAATACTGCATAGATGTTAGTTGCTGCCTTCCTTCAATCCAAGAACTAATGACCTCAGTTCTCTTAAATGATGTCTTTCCTGTTCTAGGCTATATGACAAAATGCAGAGTTATTTTGAACAGCTTCAGCTGCAATCTGCGAATGTTTGGCATGCGATTCCTCCACTTCTGTCAGTCAAATGTTAGATGATGCTGCAGGACTGGACTGCATTGACTCCTAGCTTAGAAATAGGGAGTGAAGTGGTTGGTGGAGCGTGTTGACCTGACTATCACTTCACTTATTTGGAAAGTTGCATCAGCTTCAACGCCAACGCGTTGATCGCTGAGGAAGTCTCTTCACGGATTAAGAAAGCTCATTTCGCATATTCCAGTTCACGTCGTCTCTCGACTAGTAGATGTGATATCCGGCTGGCTATCGACCATAGGGCATGTGTACTGCTCAACAGTCTGCTCCGTCCTCCTTTTTGGCTGTGAGTGAGACATGGTCATTGAGATTGGAGGACATGAAAAGGCCAGCTAACTGTCTTTGATCATAAGTGCCTGTATTTCATCTCCCGTGTTAATTGGTATATTAGGGTGAGTAATATTGAGATTAGACATCGAGTTCTATGTAAAGAGGGGAAATCAAAAGACGAGGCTGTGCACTTACATCGATTGAGATGGTTAGGACATGTGCTACGCATGCTAGCCTAGTCATCACCTTCCTCGACAACGGGCAATGTTAGCTGACTGACATAGGATCAAGTTGGAAAGGAGCCAGTGGTGGTCAAACGAAAACATGGCTTCACCAGTCAATGAAATCCATAACAGTTAGTTTAAGCCAGCCAGTCACGTAGGAAGGTGTAGACTGCTGTATGGTTGGAGTCGTCGTCATAGTAAAACTCATTGAAGGCTGGAGACAATTGGTGATATGACTGGCTCAAAATCGATCTCAATGGCTGGTTGGCGCAGATGCATCCACTCCTTGTGACTTATAATTTCCAATCAAACTATATTGTTCTTCGTAATTACTATTCTTTTTGCCTCATATTTCTGTTTGTTGTCTCTAGTTTGCATTTATTTTCATTTTTTTTACTTCTTCTCTGGCTTTGTGCGCTGAGTGAAGTGTGGAAACTGGAACTGCTGTACCATCTGTGCATAGTTCAATGTTTAAACTAGTCAGTCAGTCAGTCAGGTTATGAGCAGCCATACCCAGTCATTGGGTGAAATTTATTCTGGGGGACCCACTACTGGTTGAAAAGCGAATCCTTAAGGGAATGCATGATTCACCTGTCCAACTGACCCAAGAGAGTAATTCTGCTGAAGAAGTTATGAAATGCTCAGAAAAATGTTGTTTTGATTTTTCAAAATGCCTTGGAATCGATTTATGTGATTTTATGATGATTGAATCTAACTTGTCACTTCAGGAAATTCTCAATATCTATATGATCCTGATATTTATAGATCTGATCTACATGTCTTGATCTCACTCCTTTTGCAAGCTTTGACTGGGTCTTGTATATAGAACATTGAAGGTTTTCTCAAATAGAGAGCCGAGTGTCTCATGTTCATGAGGTGTTCTGTTGGGAAAGAACAAAGACAACTAAAGAGAACTATAAACCTCAAGTTTCGAAGTCGTGTGATTATAATTGATGAAATGATTATGAACAATAAATAAATTCTGTTCAAAACTTTGTCATCCAGCAAATAATACTGTTCCACTGACTATGTGATATATCTAATAGACAAACTAATATGGAATTACTTACTACCATAGTGCTGTCCAAGTTTTACACATATATATATTAACATCAAAAAAGAAATGATTATTATTATTATTATTTTAACTATTCCTAAAATCCACTTTTCTCCCTCTCCTTTGCAAATCAGCAATACAACTGGTTCACGAATTCCTTGTGATGTTTTCGAATCGGATTATGCGAATATGAATCGTGAGAAAACTTGTGAGAGATTTGTACATTTCATTGAATCAGTGAATCGTATTCGTCGAACAGTGATACCTAGTCGAAAAATTAATCGTCAGGTTAGTGTTTTTTTTTAAAGTATTCTTGGTTAACTAACTATTTGCTACATTTGTGCGTGTTTTTAATAAGTTATTGTGTCATTCACAGGCATCACTTTCTAGAAATTTTAATCTAGCGCTCGATAGTGACTTGCTACAGGATGGAGTTTCCTGGAGTCAGAGTTCTAGTGAGAAGTTGTGACCAGTGAGGTTCATCCAGATGTCAAGTGTGAGGACGGATGTTCCGCCGCCGCCGACGACGACACTGGTTGATGCTAGTCACGCTAAATCACGAATTGGTAGGAGCTAGAATTCATGGGCTGGCTGGCCATTGAATTGGGTCCCAATGGTGGCTGAATGGTATACGAGCCAGCTTGAATTGTAATCGGAAGGTCTTGGGTTCGAACCCTGGTGGTGGTGGTGGGGGTGGTGGCTGCGTATTTCTGATGATTCCCAAATTAAGATGAAACAGCTGTCTGTCAGTACTCCCTGTGGACTGGTTTTCAATGGTTCTCTAACTGATATCAATCTGTGATCAACTCCTTAAAAACAAAACTAATCCTTACAAACCAAACTGTAGAAAATATCAGAGTTAATCGATAACTGCTGACTTCAGTGGGACAGAAAACTGTTTCCTTCTAATGGGTGAAATGTAACTGTAAAATATTTGATATCTGAAAGAGGTTAAGAGTAATTAATAGTGACAGAATTTGATTTTGGATTTTTTCGAGCCGAAGGTCAAGTGTTTGATTCATTCAGTGGATCACAGATGCTTCACCGATGTGGATTACTTTATCAGCAGTTATTATTATTATATCCTTTAGTTCCTAGAGGAACATAGGGCTTCAGCTGCGCACCTCCACTACCTTCTGTTTTCTGCCAACTTTTTCACCCCGCTCCAAGTCTGTCAACATGCTTTCATCTCCTCCTCACATGACCCCCTCCAAGTCACCCTTGGACGACCAACTCGCCGCTTCCCTTTCGGGTTCCACTCGAGCTATGGCTTGTCTAGTGATGTCGCTTGATGGTTTCCTCAGAGTGTGGTCAATCCATCTCCATTTCTTCCTGCATGTTTATTTCACAATCGTTTCCTGCTGTGTTGGTTCGCTCATTGCCAGAGATCTCTATTGCTGATCTTTTCTGGCTGGCCATCTGATCTTGAGTATTGAGCGGAGACAACTGTTGATGAAGGTCTGAAGTTTGTTTGAGATGCTCTTAATGACTCGCCAAGTCTCTGATCCGTATAGTAGCACTGACTTTACATTGGAGTTGTAGATCCGGATCTTATTTTTGATGCTGAGTGCTGTTGACTTCCACACAGACTTAAGAGTAATGAAAGCTTGGCTTGCTTTTCCGATTCTGGCTTTGATGTCCTCGTCAGTTCCGCCTTTAGTTGAAACGACGCTTCCCAGGTAGGTAGGTGAAGGAGGCTGTTTCTTTCAGGTTCCTCCCATTTATGCTGATTGTTGTCTGTCAGCAGTTATACCGTTTTTTAATTTTACGGAATGAGATTATCAGCCTCACACCCAATCTCGCCTATTTATCTCTCCTACTACAGGCTTGATGAGGTTATGGAATGCGACAGTTGTGGGAATTGAACCAGGATCACTTGAGAATCCTACCAATGAACCGTCTATGCAAATACACAGCTATGGGACATTGTTAAGTGATCCACAACAGGAAACTCAGCGAAACCATTGAAGTGAATGCAAGTGGAAGACAAGGCTACCTGTCTACTATCACCGACCATATTTGCACTTATGATGAGCTGGATTATGCAGAAGACGGTACGTGGAGAATGGGAAGATGGGATTAAGTTGGACCAATTAGAAGACGCTATAAGATCTGTACTTTGAGGTGGACGATTTATGTTCAATGTCACACAAACTCGAAGACTTGCAGGAAGGCAGGCAAAAATGAAAAAAAAAACTGACTGAAGAATCTGGCAGGCAACAAAAACAGGACTCAAGGTGAACATAGAGAAGACGGACAAAAGTGATGAAGATAAGCAACTGACAGCAGCGGTAACAACAACAGCAACAAGCACCACTTCACTTATCTGGTTAGGTATCATTGTTTCAGCGACAGGCGACAGTGTGGATGAGGATGTTAAAACCCACCAGATTCGAAAAGGCGAGACAGACATTCATCAATCTGAACTCACTTTGGAAATCTTCTACACTCCACTGTAGGAGGATAAACAACAAAAATCTGGATGTTCAGCATCAATGTTAAGGCTATTAGCTCATATATATGTTTGGTTACAGCATTTCATCATGAGCTGACATTGGTTAGAGATCATTAAACCACTGGGCCTCGACTGATTCAATCGCCAGTGCATGAATTCTAACTTCTGCCAATTCACGACGTAGGGCGACCCCTAGCCAATGTCTTCGGTGTGTATTTGTCCTCACACTCGACCTGCTGCACCCTACTGGTCACGACTTCTCACTAGAATCCCAGGTAACTACCTACCTACCTACCTGAATAGGGCAAGTCACCATTGATCATGTCATCGATATTCAAGTGTTGGTTTGTAGGGATTTCATTGATTGGTTACAGGATTTCATCATGAGCTGACTTTAGTTAGAGAACCATTGGAAAAACAGTCACAGGGAGTACTCGACAGCTGTTTCTGTTGTCCTACTTTGGAACTCTTCATCAGTACGCACTCACCAGGGTTCGAACCCAGGACCTTCTGGTCACGAAAAAAAGTATTTCCAAATAGCTACATTGGACTTTTATAAACAGTTGCCGCCACCTTCGTTGGCTCCATCCATACTGAAGATCAGATAACCAGCTGGCGAGAATAAAATTAACAATAAGGAACTCTAGAGACGAACCAATCAAGAACCTTTTTGACCAACGAATATTTGAAAGAAATTGGAGATGTGTATAGGACGGACTCTGAGGAGATGCACTCCGTTGAGTGAAATGGTTCACGCCAAACCATCACTCGAGTGGGGAAAGCGATTCGGAAACGATGAGTTGGGCTTGCACTTGAGGTTCGAATGGAAAATCATCGTGTGTTTTTGAGGAAACGATGAGGTGAGAGAGCCTGTAAAATAGTATAATACAGTAAATACTACTAACTTCAATGATGAGTAAGCAGTTATAATAGAAATGTATTGATTTCTGTAGCGATTTTGTTTGATTCCATGGAGGATTTCATCACGAATTGTCAACAGTTAGAGAACCATTGGAAAACCAACCGGGTGTGCTGGACAGCCAGCTGCTCGTCCTGGTTTGGGAATCTTCATCAGTATGCACCCACCGGGTTCGAACTCAGGACCTTCTGGTCCTTCGGATCCCAGTGGCTTAATAGTCTATTACCTAGCTTGCCTTGTAACCAGAAAGTCCTGGGTTCGAGCCCTGACGGTGAGTGCGTACTGATGAGGAGGAGTCCTAAACTAGGACAACAGAAACAGCTGTCCAGTACTCCCTGTGGCTGGTTTTCCAGTGGTTCTCTAACTGATGTTAGCTCATGATGAAATCCTCCATGGTCTAATTTTAAAACACTAGTTTTCTTTGTTTATATTAATACTATGTTCTCCATTAATGATGTTGTATTACATGAGATGTTTATATCCAATTTAACTTTGGATATAAATATTTGCACATTTACTACAAGAGAAAACCAATTGAAAGGAACACTTATAAGTGGATTCACCACACACACACACACACACACACACACATACACACAATCTAATATTAAATCATCTGTAGAAATCTAATAACCTACTCGACATACTAGAGACATGTGTGAGAAGTGGTGTTCAACAACTTTATTTACTTGATTCTTATGTCTTCTTCATTCCTTCATTGTTTACTTCCCTTACTTACCTAACTTACTTACTTAGTTACTCACTCACTAACTCACTTATTCACTCTTTTTCTAAATATTCTCCACTGAGACGAATTAATCAGTTGGATGAAAGCTGCAGATTGACAACCTGATTGACAGCACATGGATGTGAGGAGAAAAGAATGGCGGGAGAGATTAGGGTTGTGGTAAAGACGAATGAATGTCAGTCAGATCAATCCACTTCTTATCTTCGCCTTTCCATGTTTTTGGATACCTTATTCTCTGCCAGTTCCCCCCCCCTCCCGCCTACTCTCCACCCGGCGTAATCACTATATTGGTGTTATTACATGTTTTGTATATTCCATACAGAACAAATAGAATAGAATAAGGGAAGTCAAAAGAAGTTATGCCAGCAGCGTAGCGAATCTGAATGTGTTTATTATGTGTGTAGGTGAATCCTGGTGGCGTCCTGGGTTTGAGCCCTGTCGGTGATTGTGTACTGATGAAAAGTTCCAAAGTAGGACAGGAGAAACAGCTGTCCAGTACTCCCTGTGGCTCTAACCAATGTCAGCTCATGATGGAATGCATATTTCTTTGCTCAATCTGTTGTTTTTCTTGCATCCTAGTTAACGTCGTTGTCGATAGGCACTTGACTTCGTGCAATAAATTTGCTAGAGAGATTTTGTCTGACTTGGAGCATCCACTTTACCCTGAGCTTCCATCTTGCATCTCCTTAGGTAGAATAAGAAGTAACTTCAGAAAACTGTATGCTCGCACGTCTAAGTATAAAAATTCTATGATACCATACTTGGCACGTATTTTGTGTGATGAAAATAGTGTCAGGCAAGAATTAACTAACCTTTCTCTCGCATCTAGTAAATAAACAATTTCCTCCATCCATTCATCCTTATATACCTTCAAGTTTTACTTTTATTATTTCTATTATATTTATGGTCCTGCTGCGTCTTTGTTTGTTTTACTTTCATAATTGCAAACACCAACTTATCTCCATGACGGCTGTAATCTTTGTTTTTCCCCTCACTATATCATGTAAAGAGAACGTTATATTCAATATTTTTAAACATGTTAGGATTTCTATACCTCATCGACAATACTGTGTGAAACAAGCCCACGGCAATTTTCACTTGTATTATTATTATTATTACCCTAGCTGTTATGATTATTATTGCTATTTCCATTTTATATGCTGCATGTTTTTGACACTACCTCTATTGTAAATGTGGAAAATTTTCTGTGTGATTAATTTTATTTATAATTTGAGGAAATCAGATGCAATATTGTGATTAATGCTGAAAATTCCATTCTGTATCACAAGTACTGTTTTTGGAATAAAGTAAATCACTATTATTATTAGTAGTAGTATTATTAGTATTCGTATTACATTAACAACATAAGTCCGCGACTATATTATTATTATTATTACTATCATCATTATTTTCCAGTCTGCTGTGGATAAACCTGATGCTTATCGTACAAGCACATGTAATCTGCCTAGTTCAAATACTCTAAGTGATTCTTCAATGCCTAGTACACCTATATCCTGTGTTACTGGTAGTCAAAAGTTGAACAAAACTGGTTCACTTACAACTTCTTCTTCTTCAACAACAACAACAATACACACAATACGATCCTCAACAATTGCATCCTCCAGTATTATTGGATTAGGCAATGAATCGAATGAAAGTAGTAACAATACGAATACTGTTCAACAACATACTGGTACTGGTACAACAGCAGGCGGTAATATGATGAATCAGACAAATGTTACACCAATAGATGATTGTCAATCGACTACATCTTTGCCTAATTTACTTGGTATATTTTATCAATCGTCTGAAGATCAATCTAGTCAACCTAGTCAACCATCTTTTGGGAATATGTCAGTTGTAAATAATAATATGCGTTCATCATTTAATTCAGTAACTACACCCTATTCAATTGTCGCTTTTATGATGGCTGATAATGAGTAAGTTGTGTATCATTTCATTTTGCAGTTAAACCCAGATGACATTTTTGTTAATTTTGTACTCCGTATTCACACAAGGTGTGCCAGTTTGGAACTTTTGATTTTATTGACTTTTCCGTCGCTCTAGAAGGCGACGATGAACTTGTCAAGTTGTCCTACCTATGTAACTGTCTCCACAAGAACAGTTTAATGTATATGAATATGCGTTGAAGTGGTCACCTGCATTGGAATTGTACAACAATTGGTGAATTTTAAACATAGTGTTGTGGCAAAGAATATTTTAGCTATTATCTTTGTGAAGTTTCGATGCCAGTAATTCAGTTTCTGCGTCTCCTTTAAACGGCGAAGTCATGTATACAAGTTTCTTCGGCACCCCTTGGGGGGTATCCGCTCTCGCTCTCTGGAGGCTGCTGGGTGACAACGCGCGCGCATCAGGCCATTGCTCGAGTGGAACCAGGCCGAAAGGGAAGCGGTGAGTGGGACGTCAGTGCAAGGGTGACATAGAGGAGATCATGTAAAGAGGAGTTGAAACAGTCAGTGTGGACTAACATGGATGCAGGTGAAAAGTACAGGAGAAGGAAGACAGAAGTGGCAAGTGGAGACGTGCAGTTGAAGCCCTATGTTCCACTAAGAACCCTAGGGAACAATAGTAATAATAATAATAAATTTTTCTAATTTCATCGTCAAGAGTGTCGGTTGTGCAGATTTTTCTAGCACTAAACATCAGGATACTGATATAATCTACACAACTGACACTCTAGACAATGAAATTAAGAAAATCTAAGAGGAGAACAGGTAGAGAGAAATACCCGCAAACGGTGTAGAAGAAACGTATATACATGACTTCACTATTTAAAGGAAACGCAGAGACTGAACTACTGACATCGAAACTCCGAAAAATAAGAGCTAAAACATTCTTTGCCAGAAAACTGTGTTTAAAATCCACCACTCGTTGTATAATTCCTGTGCAGGTAAAGAAGGACAAGCGTCGGTGGCACAGTGGTTAGGACTCTCGCCGACCATGCATATGGTCTGGGGTTCGATCCCCTGCCGACGCACACTCGATATCTATGGTCGGCCTGCAAAATTTGGGCTACCGATATCACATGCTGAAAATTCCATACATGTACCTAAAATACGGTGTAGCATGAAGATGTAATCAAAAAAAAACAAAAAAACAAACAAAATACCGAGTCTGACCACTTCAATGCGTATTTATACATCAAACTGTTCTTGAGGAGATAGTCACTACACATAGGTAGAACAACTTTGTGGAGTATTCATTGTACATTGTGGTTAGTTAGAGGAGTCTTTAAGGTAAACCAAATGAGCCATAATCATTTCCAGATGTTAGTTGTACTTCAGTAATATGCTCACCAAATCCATCGGACATATCTAAATTCACTTCCTGACTGACATATTTTTATATCTCGTGTTACAACGAGGTGTTAGTGATTTGAGTTAGTTGTTTTTGTTGCCTAACTTACCTAGAATGAACCTCCAGACACACGACACCCTCTGTAGCCAACTGATTACTTGATAATGTTCCCCACACTGAGATAGGGCTGACTGGATGTTAGAATCAATACTCTCGCTATGGGAATAACT